CCCGGCAGGTTCCATGTGGCAATGCTTTTCTTGTCAGAATCGTATTAAGTCTAAGTTAAGTCTGACACCAGCTCATTTATTTATCTTGGCTTATGAAGAACTTGAAGGTAAACCCAGTAATGATTTAAAATTTTTACAAGCAGCATTACATTTTAATAACAGTAAAAATAGAAGTAAACAAATAATGCAGATTGCTGATATGTAAAGGGTGGAATGAACATGTAAATAAAGCACAATATAAATGTGATTAATGCCTGTTTATGTTTATTGTGTAATAGTTCGTGCAAAAAACTATTTTAGAAAAATAAAGTGCGATAGCGGCAGGGACCCCACATATTTTTAAGGGACCCACACATTTTATAAGGGGTGGGTCCCAGGGACTCCACATTATCGAACACTAATGCAACCCCTGATTGACCCATCAGGTCAAAGGACACATGCTGATCAACTAATACGTCACAAACATCATTTTACCGAAGCGATCGAGTGATCAAAAATATCCACTCCCGATAAAACTAAGTCAAATTTTACATTTATTTCTCATCAAAAAAACAAAGTAAAATTTTGTGCTTGGCATCATGACTGAGTAAGAGGAATTATTGGTATAATCGGTGTATAATATCGCGAAGTAAGTTGTGTCACGTCGTAACGTTCGAAAGTTTTATTTGTTCGTTCGTTACTGTGAATATATAAGTTTTAGAGATTGATGATACGAATTATAAATTACAACAATATTCCAAATAATTACGCGGTCGATTTTTTGAAGGAGAATGTATTTAGAGTAAATAAGATCGTGAAAATATTCCTGGCTGAAACGTTTCAAATGCATTTTATTTAACTTTTTACAATAGACATTAATATTGCAACAATTATTTATTTGTTTCTGTTTTTTTAGTCTGCAGCATTTGCATTTCGAATATATTTAATTTTTAAATTCAAACTCTTCTAAATTGTGAAACATAATGTCTTAATTCCAAGAATATTTGCTGCGACCGAACTCATTAATATTCATTGCTAATTAATATTCATATAGCTCATTAGTATTCATGACCGACCGGCACTCATGTTGGGCTGGCGAGATCCCTGATAATGAAACACCCAGATCCTGGTAATATACAAAGACCTGAATTAACAAAGAAGTCAAGTTGTTATTTTAGGTACATCAAGGTTTACTCAGATTTATGAATGCAGTTTCTTGAGCAAGTAGAGACATAGTTTTGTTGCATTTGTGTACTCTGAGATTTTGGACCTGGGTCAATGAAAGTTTTCTGTTATCAGATTAAGGGAAATCACTTCATGTTGTACCCACATATTAATTCAATTGTTTGCAGATGTTCCATGTATTATTTTAACATGAGTATTTTATAATTAAAATAACAGGGACTGTGACATTCATGTCTCGTTTGTAATTAAAACTAATTTACTACAGGTTATGGAGGTGGTTATGAAGACGACTATGATGGTTATGATGATTACTATGGCGGAGGTCAAGGTGGTGGTGGAATGTCAACAGGAGGATATGGAGGACAATCCAGGAGAGGTGGTGGCGGCGGAGGGATGGGTCGTGGTGGTGGTGGATTTGGAGGAGGTGGTTCAAGGGGGAGGGGTAAGTTGCATTCACAACAAGCCAAAATTTATTAATGTAAAAGTGTAGTAAAAATGTTAAAAATAAGATTTTCCCCGTTCTACTGTATTAAACAGTAAACTGCCCACCAAACCAAGAACTAGCCAGACCTCAGTACATTGTCTTGTTATATATTAGGCCAGACTTTTTTAGCTCCGCTGTCGACTTTGTCGAGCGGAGCTTATCTGATATCTTCAATTCTCTAATTTTGGTGAATATTTTTGTCATTTTTGGTGATATTTTCGACTTCTTGTTAAAAACTGTAAATCCGATTGCTTTGATACTATACATATTGTTCATTTTCTAATGATGTCTTCAGTTCTTTAATTGAAATGTGCATTGCTAACAGCGGAGCTATCTCAGCCGATAGGCTGCTTGTTTATTTTATTTCTCAAGTTTTTATAAGGCAATTTTTTTGAGGAGGGCGGGTAAAAAAATAAAATTTCTTTTTTCCATTACCTTTGTGTGATTCTCAAAGAATTCGTAAGTGAGATCATTGATCGGAGAGATGACATTAAATAAAATTTTATTCCATGTATAACCTTGTTTCTCATCTGCGCGAGACTTCGGTACTTTGATCATGATACTCCCACGAAAATGCAACTTGGGTTTGTTATGCGGCGTCAGAAAAAAAATAAAGATAAAAATAATTCTTTTTTAGCAATTTTTTGCACTTTTTGCATGAGAAATTGCGCTGAAATAAAATTTTATTTTTATTTCATTTTCGGCTCCTGTTTATTCGGTGGGTTCGTGAAACAAGGGATAATACAAGTCTGGCCTTACTAAAAAAACTCTTCTAACGACAATATTAGCCTATTGAATTTTCAAGTGCCAGCATCCTTTAAGGAGCAAGTCAGAACTAAATTTTTTTTTTTTTTCTGTGGTTTATATTTCAGGTCGTGGAGGAAACTACTCTGGGCCAGGAAGTGATCGTATCAAAGGTGGCTTTGTCAGTACAACAGGACATGTTATACACATGAGAGGTTTGCCATTTAGAGCTACAGACCAGGAAATCAGACAGGTCAGTATAACTTCAGTTGTAGTGTGCTTTACACAAAATTCTTTGGTCATTCAGGTTTTGTTTGTAGCGAAACTTGTTTATTCCATTGCATTGGTTCTCAATCCACAATTTGAAATTATGTTTCTGATAAAGCAGTGCATCAATTATTCAATGACATACCACTTACAAGTTATAATTCCTTGAATTTGCAACCTGGAATTAAATTGTTACAAGACCACATAAGGAGATCCTAATAGTAAATATTTATTGCGCAAATTTGACATAGTTTGTCATGGTTACAAGATGTTACTAAAAATAGAACTGAATCATAAAATGTAGTGCAGTGCAAGTCAATTTAACCTCAACTGAATTACATGGGTTTTGTTGTGAATCCCAAGGAAATTTATTGCCAGGACAAAACTCACTCGAGAAATTAACTCTGTAAGTTATTAGTGCCTACTGTAACAATTTTAGATTTTGTCAGTTTTTTTTGTCTGAACATTTTAATGAATAATTAATTACATGACATATTGCTTATCTACATCATTCGAAATAAAGTCTATACTCAATTCAATTTATGCTTTCTATTGTAGTTCTTCCAGCCAGTTAATCCAACCAAAGTTCACATACAATACGAGTCGGGTGGCAGGGCGACTGGAGAGGCTGATGTTGAATTTGCAACACATGAAGATGCAGTGGCAGGCATGTCAAAAGACAAAGCTCACATGCAGCACCGCTATATTGAGTTATTTTTGAATTCCTCTCAAGGATCAATGGTAGGTGGTGGTGGCGGCGGCAGCGTAGGTGGTGGCGGTGGAACTGGTGGATTTGGAAATCAAGCTGGAGGAATAGGAATGTCAGGTAAGCTGTGTTTCCCAAAAAAAATTCTCAGAAGAAAAAAAAAAACCTACATTGCTCATTGCCTTCAGACCTGTGTAATGTTGTGTAGTATGGGACCAGAATAAGAGTATTACATGGTGATAAAAAACTAAAAAAATAATTTCTCAACAACTACCTTATTTGCTCTAATTGAAGCACAGATAATCCTAAATTTGCATTTATTATATGCTGGATCATTATAATATGCAGTTATTACGAGGATAACGAAAAGTATGCATGAAGACAGTTAGAGTATCGTCCGGCGCGCAGTGGAGGTTGATGCACAGCATACTGTCTTGAGTGTTGACTTTTGGCATTTAAAGGGTTGATTATGTTGTATTTTCAGGTCAATCTAATTTTGGACAGAATAACCAGGGTGGATTTGGTGGACAAGATATGATGAACTCTGGCATGGGAGGTGGTATGGGAGGTGCCGGTGGTGGCATGACGGCAGGCAATGCTGGCAACTTTGGCGGTGGTTTTGGTGGACAAGGGGGATACCAAAGTAAGAATACTAAATCCTACCTTATATACCTTAAATAGCCCATATATGTTTGGTATTTTTCCCAAATATTTCATAATCAACCACCATTTTGTCGTCCTTGACGTAGTTAGTTGTTATAAAACTAAAATCGTCCAAGTGATATGACATATGATATAACACCAAAGTGTTAACAGGTACCGTTAAAGTCGTAATATAAACTGCATCCGTAATAGTAACCGCCTCCAATTCTGGCTTCGGGGTTAAAGAAAAGTACCTATTACTAACCGCACCCCCAATTCAACAAGACCGTGACTGACTTCATTGTTTCAATCAGCTGGTCCAAAACGGCATTGTTCCTAATCCTATTCATTTGTTTCGACAATGTGCCTAAAAATATTCACACCTATTTATTGTTCAGCGGTGATAAGATGTCAGACACGCAATGAAACTGCTTTTGTTCTGGCGACAACCTGTCAATACGTCTGTTTCGTAAGTTTTCGACAATGAGCTGTTATCATCGTAAATGTGTTAAATTCTACTTCAATGCTCAGTTTATCTTTCGAAAACAAATAATTTGATTTAAAAAAAATCATGCTGTTTTCCCATGGAAATCAAAGCCAAAAGATCGCGCTACATTATCGGTAAATCTTTTCTGTGTTGCAGTTGCGTTCACCATGAGGTCGCTGAACTGTCATAAACATATTTAAATGAGCTATGTAATTTAGACACATAGGCACCATCCAGCATTTTGATTGGTTAATTAGGGACTTGACCTATCCGGTCCAGTGTTCTCCACAAGGGGTTTTAGGCGGGCGGCCCGCCCATCAAGTTTTACGGCCGCCCAGTAACTCTCAACACCCGCCCACCAACGTACATCCAGCTGAAATTATTTGTAAAAAGCTTGCATTGTTCTTCCCAAGCCTAAACAAAAGAGTAGTTGCCCAACCCTTTATTTTGCTATTGTTTCAACAGTCCAAACATAAACAATGTCCATTGGAAGTCTGCAAGCAGTTATCAAGTGTATTCATGGCAATGTGTCAATCGCTTG